TGTATAATGCTCCTTTCATGACATCATAGATTTCAAAACCAGGTTTTGAGGGGCTATGCAGTAGTGCGGCAATAAAGCATTGTACTCTGTAAGGCAGACCCATGTAGAAGGGTTTTGAGTTCATATCTGGAGAAATCCCTTAGTATGCTGGGCATGCACATGCCTGTGGTCTGGGACTGGCTGGCTAGGGATCAGTCATAACACCAGGACCCTTTGGGGTTGCTGTCTCACTGTCTCTCCCCCTCACTCTCTTTCACACTCATGGAAAATTACGTATAAACTTTTTAAAAGATTAGGTTCTAGGTAGTTGTCATGATAAAAAGTAAGAACTGCACAAAAATCAATGTGCTGCAGAAAATGAAGGTGATGGTGTCCAATAGGATCCCACCATCTGAGAGGCTGTGCAGTGCCAACCAGGTGCACTGTTCCACTAGTACGCAATTGGGGCTATTTAAGAAATCAAACACAAATATTATTTCTTTCCATTTATGCATATCATTTTTTCCCAATGTCTTCTATGCTGTTAGGATATAAATACTTTCTAAATTGTAGAGACCTAACTACATAATACCATGGGCTTCTTCAAGTCTTTCTTTTGGCTTAAAGGTGACATTAAAAATTAATGATGAGCCAAGGGTGACATGAACCAAGAAAGTTCGGGAACTTCTGCTGAATCCAGAGGAAAGTCTCAGGTAAAATAGTAGCAAAGCGCCCTCCTTGGGAGCTGTGAGTGTTGAAAAAAATGGACTTGGTGCCAACACTGTCTGCTACCATCACTGCCTTCTACACCCATGGAAAGTCTAAACACTAGAAAACTACTTCACAAAGACCATGGCATACACTTATATCACATACCATCTCACCCAAAAGCAATTAAGTCCCAGAGTTCTGGACCAGTTTGTTGAAAAAAGCAACTGAGGGCCAGCAGGTGATGTAGTGGTTAAGATGCTGGACTCCCACATGGCTGACCACGGTAGCTTCAAATTCATGACAGGCGTGCGGGTATATGTGTGTGTGTGTGTGTGTGTGTGTGTGTGTGTGTGTGTGTGTGCCCCAAATCCCAAGAGGAGAATGGAGAGAAGGGATTATAGCATGGCCACCCCCCTCCCCCGGGGAGTGATTTCTCACTTTCTCTCTCTCTGTCTCTGTCTCTCTGATGAGCATACATGCCTTATGATTTAAAAAAAAAACTCTCCAAAGATTAAATAATGATTAAATAAAAGAATAAACTGAAGTACCAGCTCAGAAGCTGTGACGATGGGGTGCTCTACTACAAACTGAAGTATATGCATCAAATCAAAGACCTCTATACAACACTGTGTCCCCAGTAGGACCAATCTATAGACCCAGGAACCAAGAAGTAGAAACGGGGTGGTCCCATTGCCCTTCACATCCAATAATGCACTAAGGGAATGTGTCTTTCTCATTTCTGCAACTCTGGGGTTGGGATTAGAAGTCCAGGTGGGCACGTTTTTACCAAGAGACACAACACGGATTATGTTGATTATTAGCTACAATGGCCATTGGGCACTTTGGATTTCTTATGTCTAGGACCTACCAGGCAAAAAAGAGACATACTATTTTGGTAGGGACAATTGCTCCTGACTAATAATAGAGATAGGAAGGAATCTATACGGAGCCTAAGTAAACCATTTCAGTGCATCTTAGCACTCTCTTGCCAAACTTTAACTAGGAATGGATATGATGCAACAATTCTGAGACAAGGTGACTTGTTATGGTTTAGATGACAGTTTGTCCCCTAAAGGCTCTTGTTTTAGAATTTGCCCTCAGTGTAACGGAGCTGGGAAATGGTGAGATCATTGAGAGGTGAAGCCTAGTGGGCAGTGATTGATTGTGAAAGCACCACCCTCATGAATAGATTAATGATTTCTCATGAGGTCCAGCAGTTCTAGCTTTTGTGAGAAGGGGTTAGTTCTTACCAAAGAGAGTTGCTATAAAAGGAGGATTATTGACTCCAGGTCTCTCTGTCTACACTCACCTGCCACCTCTCTCCCTCTGTTAGCTAGGTTGTGATATAGCTGGCTTGATGCCAGCCTTGCATCTTTGGACTTTCCAGCCACTCAAATCATGAATCAAATAAACCTCTATTCTTTATTCACCCAGACTCTGTTGGCAACACAAGAGCAGACTAAGACAAAGGAATATTTACTTAAAGGCTCAGAGTTGTCAGGAATGAAGACTTTGGTCACATCACCAGGTAAGCTACCAGGAGACCTACAGAGGTAAGAGTTAAGGGTAAGGGAAATTTAGAATGGACAGCAAAGGAAGAAGAAGATGGACACAAGTGATATCCCCAACACCAGCTGCAGTGATAGACACTCAAGTTTTGCCAACTAATATCCCTTTTCTAAATCTTCTCTAGGGAAGAGAGGCCTACAGGAGCTCTGAGAGAGGACCTGCTCCTCGAACATGCATCCAAAGTAAATCTGTGCAGTATAAAAGATGGCTTGAGGTGGCCCTGGAGGTGTCTGGCTCAGTGGTCTCAACAAGAGAGTGCTGTAGGGAGCATAGTTGATTGGTAGGGGCTGCATCTTTGGAGCCACTGCATGCTTTCAATCCTTACCCCGACAGCTCCCAGACAGTCACTGAGCAGGGTGGGAGTCCTAGAACCAGGCCTTTCCTGCCTAATGGGGAATTCATTTCTCAGGCAACTTAGGCACAGGGGCTCCTCATTAGCCTGGTCAAGTCTTTCTCAAAATGGCAGCTCTTCCTACCCAATCCTTCCTATCCTTCTTCCCATCTCCCCTTCAATGCCTTCTCCAGCTCACTCCTGCTTACCTCCCTACTATCCTTCATAATCATTTTCCCCAATAAATCTCTTGCATATCCAGTCCCACTCTGACTTTTCTTCTGGGAGATTCCAATTACATGCCCTCTTGTACACTTGTCAGGGGTCGTTTCAATTCCAAAACCCTTCCTGCTTTCAATTCTTCTATCCACAGACAGGTGAGTATTCATAACAGAAGAAATAAGAGCTAACATTTAATGAGTACTTTCTTTGGGCTAGACATTGGGCTTCAAATGAATGAACCCATTTGGATTCTAGCATACTCCTGGGAGGATTATCATCGAGGCTGCTCAGTGGCACAGCCTTACTCCACAGCACACGCCTCTAAAGACAATGTTCTGTTGTGTGTGATTTTCTCATATTGAGGCAAAACCCTCCTCCTATTCTTTGGGTTCATACAGAACTGGTTGAGTCACTCTTTACCAAGCCTATGTCCAAAACTATATGAAGATAGTCCCTTGTCTATTCTGTTCAGAGGTGAATATTTCTCATTCTGTTGTATTTTCTCAGCCCCTCATCCCCAACCCCATCCTGCGAACACGATTCTGTTTATCTGCACCATTCTGAAAGGCTTGCTGGTGGTTTAATGCTGCCCACAATAAAAAGCAGGAGGACCAAAACTTCCTGTGAAAGGGAAGGTCAGAGTCAGTCTTCAGACAATGGCGAGAAAAATCGTGATTTCCAGGCAGGAGCATTCGAAGCGGGAGGCAGGGCGTTTTGCATTCTGCGGAGTGTCATCTTGCAGTGGACACCTTCTAAGGGGACGAGGCCATGATGATATCATAATCCTCAGCAGATCAAGGTTTAGGGATAATGCATGAATGAGATTGATCCAGTGTAAAATAAGGCCACCGCAAAAGCATGCGAATCAAAGCCTCTGCAATAAATCTGCTGCAGACTGCGGACGTACCCCAGAAGGTTATGGGGAGGATTAAATACATTAATGCATGTAAAATGCTTAGTACAGTACCTGGCACAGAGCGAGTGATCGATAAATATTAGTTAGTATTATTATCTGCTGTGAAATGAACCCAGCACAGTACCAGTGCCTAATTCTTCCTAGGGAAGGGATGCCAGGGAATAATAATAGTACCACTTAACCAGGACAGCACATATGTTCAGCCTTTGTATATATTATCTAGTCCAATCCTTAACAATCTGTAACAAAGCTATTATTCCCATTTAAAAGATAGGGACTCCAGGCACCAGCAGATGGTGTAATGGTTATGTTGCTGGACCCCCATGTAATCTACTGTGGTTCGAGTCCCGGACCTGGCAGCTTAAAACTCACGCCAGGCGCAGGTGCATGTGGGCCCAAAATCCCAAGAGGAGAACAGAGGAGAAGGGACTGTGTCATGGCCAACCCCTGGGGGGTGATTTCTTGCTATCTCTCTGTCTCTCTGGTGAGCGCATGCACCCTATAACAAAAAAATCTCTCTTAAAAGAAAAGAAAAGATAGGGACTCCACAGTTCAGGCATTTTATCTCAGGTCATGCAGCAGGTTGGTTAAGAGTTTAGGCTTTAGAATCAAACAGTTCTGGCTTTGAACTCAGCTCAGGTACTTGCTGAGCGACCTTAAGCATGTCATTTAATCTCTCTGTGCCTCAGTTGTTTGGTCTGCAAAATATGGGCCTAAAACACCTTCTTTAAAGGAGCGCTGTGCTAAATTGAGTTAATAAACATAAAACACTTAAAACCACACATTCTAAGCCCTTGAGAAATGCCATACACACATATACACATCTATGAACTTATTTATTAGGGATGTGTGTGTGTGTGTGTATCTACATACAGACATGGACTTGGCAGGATGAGTAAGTGTTTATCAAATGCAAAAGGGGGGAAGAAATAAGTATCTCAGATGAAGGTAATTGTGAGACTGAAGGCCCTCGTCAGCTACCCAACCCGAAGCACAAGGTTGCACTAGTGAGTTAGCAGCAGGACCAAGCAGAGTTTGAAAGGAAGGAGTGGTTTGTAGTTAGGCACAGACAAAGGGTCAGGGGCCTCAGGGCTGAGAAGAGAAAACACTTCAGATTTATATTTTCCGGGCCCAACTGCCGGCAGTTGTCCCAGCATCCAGAAAGAGTAGGCGTCCCCGCCCCCACCAATCCCGGCCAATGAGGAAGCCCTCCACAGCGTCCTGTTGCCAGGCAACAAAGTGCCCTCCCAACTTCCCTTACAGTTGGCAAGGCTTACTGTCCCCGCAGTGCAGGGCTGAACCGGTATTGGGGCTGCCTTAGTTCCCAGGTGCTGTCTAGAATGGGGATCTGGGGGCCCCTCCACGGGGCCCCCTCACATGGTATCAGTGGGAGTTTATTTTTTTAGTTCATACCTTATTTTGCTTATAGGAGAGAAAAAAAAAATCCCTTTCCAACGAAGGGGAAAGGTTATAAAACTTTGTAACTTTCTAAAAAGCAAATACTTCTAGGCTTGTCTGGTTCTACCCTATCCAGTCTTCCTTGTCCTGTCTGTGGGAGACCCAGATGACTCGCTCTCCCCTTACATCTGGGACAGCAATTCCTCTGGAGTTGGTTTACTACTTGGGACTTGAGTCAGGAAGAAATTGCTGGTGCCCCTCCCACCAGTGGCTGCTGAAACAGAAGATTCTGAAGAAACCCTTTCCTTGGGGGACAGACAGGCTAAAGCCTGAACAATTTCCAAGATGACGAAGCTACCAGCCACCAAGAAGATCCAGAGCCCCCTCAACATGGGGACCATGTGGCTCTTTCATGGCGCAGAACATCAAATGCAGGTGAGTCTCCCCTCACTACTGCACCCTGCCATGTTTTCAGGAAGACATGAAATAGGAACTAGCCCCCAGATCAAGCAGGGAGAGGCAAAGCGGGAAGAGTCCTGGTATATTTCAGTTGTCGAGACACCTCCCTGTGGTGATCAACGGTTGGTTTCTTGAAAAGAATGAAAATGTGAGCCAGAACGGTGAGCTGGACCATCCTATTAGCCAGTAATTCCAAAATGATGGAATAAATCGGCAGCGACACTGTAGAACATCGGGAAAAAATTAAGATGAATTGCAGGTTTGCCGTCACAGAACTTATTTTCAGAGATCCTCCGGGCCCGGGGCTGTGCGTATCTCTCTCTGGAGGCCGCAGAGCGTCGAACTTCTGAGTTGGAAGGCTGGGTTTGCTACTCACTAGCCTGGTAACATTAGACAAGTTGCTTAGCATCCCTGGGCCTTTATTTTCTCGTGTTTACAGAACGAGGACAGGAACATCAACTAGGCAGAAACAGTGTGAAGATTAAATGGAGTAAGATTCGGAGATTGTCTAGCATGATGTTAACACTTGGTAATGTATGCGTGACATGGAATACTGGCGTCGGTTTGAAAGAAAAAGGAAAACGAACATAGAATGAGTGGCTGGAGTCGCAGGTCTCTGTTTTGTTTTGCTTTTTAAGGTTTCTTTCTTTCTTTCTTCTCTGAGAGATACACAGAGCACCCCAACAGGGTGCTGAGATTCACCCTCAGCTTCATTCAGCCCCAATCATATGGGCAGTGTATTCAGGCAGGTCTCTGGACTTGAACCGGGAACTTCCCACACAGGATAGTCTTGCAGAGTATCACACTGTACCACCATCATTTGGCCCTGGGTTTCTGGGGGGTTATTTGTTTTTGTTTGTTTTTAAAGAGATTTTTGCTATAGGGCAAATGCATTCTCCAGAGAGAAAGAGAAACAGAAAGCGAGAAATCATCCCTCCCACAGGGGGATGGCCACACCACAATCCCTTCTTCTCTATTCTCCTCTCGGGATCTTGGATGCATATGTGCCTGACAGGAGTTTTTAAGCTGCTGGGTCCAGGACTCGAACTGTGGTTGATTATGTGGGAGTCTTGCAATGTAATCATTACGACATCTGCCAGTCCCAGGTTTGTTTTTTAAATGATGATAACTAGGTAGGTCACAATTATAAGTGTGCCCACCTTCAAACCCCTATATTGCCACAGATTAGCCAAGAGGAAGAGTGGGAGCGAGTCCACACAGGCTCCCTGTGGAACCCCCATGCACGCACCTCAGGGTCACAGTTATGTCCTAGGAAGGGTGGCCAGGGGACGCAGCACCAGTGCACGAAGGAGAGCCACAGCTCACCAGCACTTTTGAACAGGATGGTAATGCTGCCGAGAAGCTCTGCTCCCTGAGGCAGACCCATACAGGCTGATTGCCATTCATGTCTAGTTGCTGGCCCCAAGGCCTCCTTTGGGACACTGAGTAGGCATGTATATGCCCGTGATCCTGGGTGAGCTGAAAGCTGGAGAGTGGATTGCTGTGTCAAGTCCTTGTCTGGGGTGCTGTATTATCTCTCTCTCTCTCATTTATGAAATGAATAAATAAACTTTGAAAAGGCTCTCATTAAAAACAAAACAAAAACAAAAACAAAATACAGGGACCAGGAGATGGCATAATGGTTACATTGTTGGACTCCCACATAGTTGACCATGGTTCAAGTCCTAGACCCTGTGGCTTAAATCATGCATTGGGCAAATGTGTGTGTGTGTGCGCGCCAAGATCCCAAGAGGAAGATGGAGAAGGGATTGCAACATGGCCATCCCACGTGGGGGGTGATTTCTCACTTTCTGTCTCTCTCGCTCAGTTTGTCTCTCAGGTGAGTGCACATTACCTATAGCAAAATCTCTCCTGAAAAAAAAAAAAAGAAAGAAAGAAAGAAAGAAACAAGGCTGGTCTCAAAGCCTAGTAGTTAAGGGTACCAGGTCCCACCTGGTCAGCTTCGGCTCAGCACCCAGCTCCCAGCACCCAGCAGCTTAAAAAACCACACTGGGCACGTGTGGATGTGCATAAAGTCTCAATAGGATGGAGAAATGGAGGAGAAGGGATTTTGACATGACTACCACCATGAGTGACGCATTCTCTGTCTCTCTCTGTAACTCTGTCTCTATCTGGCAAGTGCATGTATCCTCTGACAATTAAGAGAAAGTACACACAACCTTTCATGGTGGCCCAAAGTGTCCCTGAGCTGCTCTTTCTAAAGATTAACTCACATTACACTTCTCATTGCTTGGCTTTCTGGGTGAGATTACTCTGGGGTAAAAACAAAACACACACACGCACACACAAATTCAGCTTCTCCGATCTCCTTTTACCTCAAAATGCTACACAGAAATGTGCTTGATCCAGAGCAGCCCTCACTGGACATCAGACCAGTGTGGGAAAGAGAATGAGGGAGACTGAGGAGATGGACACTTCGGTAGCTAGGAGCATTGGGACAGTTGTAAAGGACAGAAACAGCCTGGTTCGAACCCCAGATATGTCTCTTAGCAGACCTGTGGACTTGGAAAAGTTACAGAATATTTCTGCTTCAATGCTGTCATGTGTAAAAACGACATTGGCATTGTGTGAACATCAACCTCAAATGACTTACTGCATGCCAAGAGCGTCTAGAAGCATTCCTGACAGAGTAGACACTCCCTAGATTTTAGTTATATTGTTATTTCATTCATTTAGCAAAGACTTATTGAATCCCTGTTGTGGGCTAAACACTCGCTCTTGTAAAAAATGAGACTCACCTTCAAGAATCTCACAATCTATAATGCGTATATTTGGGACAAGGAGTGAAAGAAGTAAGAAACAGATAATTACAATACAGAGTGATTAATGATGTGCTGAGAGGTGTCACAGGGTACTGTGGGAGCAAAGAAAAAGGACAGCTAGCTCAGACTCCGTGTGTGCACACGCGTGTGTGTGTGTGTGCGCGCGTGCATGTGTGCACATGCATGCTGGATTTGGGATAGAAAGAAGCTATATACCCGACTAAATTCAATAGAGTCTTCCATCCTGGGATAGAGGTGTGAAGAGTATGGAAGAAGATACAGATTGAAATGATGGGAGGAAGACAGTGAGACCAGGAAGGCCAAAGGATGGGAAGAAGGTTTCCAAGGAACTGTTGGGTAAGCTAAGACTTCCAGGGCAAAAGCCTCACGGAAGTCCTTCTGCCCCCACCCAACCATGCTATGATGATATACATAATCTGGGTTTCAACCACAGTTCCTGGCTCCTAAGTAGTTGGCCTTTCCTTGGTTTCTGAAGCAGCTTCAAGAGAGAAAGGTGTGGACCAGTAGGTGGCATAGTGGTTAAGCCACTGGACTCTAACATGGCTGATGGAGGTTCAAGTCCCAGATCTGACGGCATGAAATTCACACTGGGTGCATGTGTGTGTGTGTGTGTGTGTGTGTGTGTGCCCAAAATCCCAAGAGGGGAATGGAGAAGGGATTATGGCATGGCCATCTCCCCTGAAGGGTGATTTCTCACTTTCTGTCTCTCTGGCAAGTGCACACCCTGTAACTAAATAAATAAACTCTCAAAAAAAAAAAAAAAAGAGAGAGAGAGAGAGAGAGAAATAAAAGTGAAAGACAGTACTTCCTTTCACCTACCCCTAAAAGCAGGTCATAGAACTCCAATCTTCCCTTATCTCCAAGACCTTCATCCTAGGCCTTCACCATTCATGGTGTGTTCTCCTAGAAGGGTCCCACCCCATTCCCAGGGAGGAGCAGGTCATACAGAGAGGTCCGTAGTTTGAATAGACAGGCCTCGCTGGGTTCTCCCACCCAGTTGTTGGCATCTCACACCTGTGCAATGTAGTCTCCATAAAACCCAAAGGACAGGGTTCAGGGAGCTCTTGGCTAGATGGACACCTGGAGGTTTCCAGACAGTGGTACACCCAGAAAGGGCATGGTTCGACACACACCCCCACTCCCCACATACCTTGCCCTATGCATCTCCTCATCTTTATCCTTGGAAAAACCCTTTATAATAGGGGCCAGCAAGTGGCATAGTGGCACTGCTCCCACATGGTCGACTGCGTTTCGAGTCCCAGATCTGGCAGCTTAAAACTCACGCCAGGTGTGTATGTGTACATGCCCAAAATCCCAAGAGGAGAACAGAGAAGGGATTGCAGTGTGGCCATCGTGCTAGGGAGTGAGAAAGGGATTCCTTTATTATAATAAACTTGTGATTGTGTTTCCATGAGTTCTATGAACCTCTCTAGCAAATCAATTGAATCTAAGAAAAGGAGGAGGTTTGGGGAACCCCAACTTGGAGTTGGTTGGTCAGAAGCTCCAGAGGCCTGGACCTGGGACTGGTGTCTGAAGTGAGTAGAAGGCAGTCTTGGGAACTGCGTCCTCACCTGTGGAATTCCGGCTTAACTAAAGCTGGGGATGGACTGTGCGGTGAGGACCTGCTGGAGCTGGGCCTTCCTCCCTCTCTCTCTCTCTCTCTCTCTGACAAAATAAATTTTTAAATGTTAAAAAATAATGATGAGGATGATGATGGGAGCTGGCATGCATCGAGTGTCCACCATGTCCCACATTCTGAGCTAAAGTCTTTGCGGGTGATATTTCAGAACCTTCTACAATCCCTCAAGGTATAAACCATCACCTCCTGGTGAGACAGGTGGCAATATCAAGACATAGAGAAGACAAATCCCTTATCCAAGGACACCTCCCCAGCCTGGAGAAGGGCTGGGATTTGAACTTGGTCTCATCTGACTCCAGAGTTCAAGCCCTCTCTACCTTACCAAGCCAATCCAGCTGTAATAAGGAGCTGTCCTGTCCAGTGCCCAGCACCATACAGGAAACAAGAAGGTACAAGGCACAGGCTCCTATACTTAACTCACACAAATTCTCTATTTGAAGGTCTTTGAGGAAACCTAGTATGCCCTGATGTTGGGCTCCCTAATCTGTTTAGGGTGTCCCTTTTCCCTTTTTTTTTTCCCAAGGCAGCCAAAG